CACTGAGCGTTTGCTCAGATCTGCATGTATTTTCAGCCATTTTCTTCTGAGTTCCTGAGCTCTGCTTTTGAGCCAGAATAAAAATTACACTCCCAGTGGGAGTGGCTGCTAGGGTCTATCCTATGCCGTGACATGCACACCTTTCTATGTGTGGAGTAGCAGGAATTAAGCCTAATTCAAGAGCCCCAGGGATGGCAGAACAAGTGCTGGGGCGACAGTCCTAGGTCTTTCAGTGTCCCTTCCTGCCCCCAGAAGCCATCTTTATATGTTCATAAAAGAAGGCCAATGGGTAGATGTGGTTAAGTCAGGCTAGTCTGGGTGACCTGGACCAGGAAGCATGTCTCAAGAACTGGCAGAGGGGGCTTGGATGCAGGACTGCTGAAGAGACCGACACCCTGTCTCCAGAAAGCAGCTATAAATATGAATAATTTTGACAGTTGTTTCCATAGTTGAAACTCCAAACAGGTAGATTACAATGTGAGCTTTGTGCTTGGGATAACTACTTTGGTTTGGATTTGAACATTTTCAGTCTCGTTTCCTGGGGTGTTCCCACGCTTTCCCTCACCCCAACTAAGTAGGACTGGCATCTTTCCTGTTGCGGCGTTAGTGGCAAGGACTGTTGAGTTGACATGGGGCATGGAGGGGGGCGGTGTCCTTATGAGAGAAAGCATATCCCTGCCTGAGGGAGCATACAGGCCCATGACCAGAGGTCAGACTCACGATGAAGCTACATGCATGTTAAGAAAAGTGTGACTTGCATGGTGGAAGAAAGCACTGGGCGAGGCTGGAAAGTGATCTGAGTTTTGAATGTGCTTCCTACCCACCCAGATCCACTGAAAGAACAAGAGCCTTACTAGCTCAAAAATTTTAGCACAACTTTAGTTTCATCATTAGCTGCCACTAAGCTTTGTGGTTGTAGAATGCCACATTAAAAATAAAAATAGCTGGGTGCTGGTGGCTCACACCTATAATCCTAGCTACTTGGGAGGTGAGATCAGGAGGATCATGGTTCAAGGCCAGCCTGGGCAAACAGTTCACAAGACTCCCATCTCCAAGATGACCAGAGCAAAATGGACTGGAGGTGTGTGGCTCAATTGGTAGAGCACCTGCTTTGCAAATGGGAAGCCCTGAGTTCAAGCCCCAGTCCCACCAATAAATTAAAGAATAAACAATCTGCATTAAAAAAAAATATATCAGTGGCCACAACGGGGGAGATGAGAGTTCAGGCAAGTTAATAAGCAGCAAACAAAACGGAGCAACTGCAGGAGGTTCAGAATCAGTTGAAGCAAGCCAGGCACCAGTGGCTCACGCTTGTAATCCTACCTACTCAGAAGGCAGAGATCTGGAGGCTCTCCATTCAAAGCCAGCCCCAGGCAAATAAGTTGAGACCCTATCTCAAAAAAACCCATCACAAAAAGGGCTGGCAGAGTGGCTCAAGGTGCAGGCCCTGTGTTCATACCAGTGCTGCAAAGAAACTTCAGCTAGAAAGGGGACATTACTGTCAATTCTACAGAAATTTAAAAGGTTAAGGAGACTATTATAAACAACTTTATGCCAAAATATTATACAACTTTGATGAAATGGGAACTTTCTTTTTCAGATGTACTGGGATTTGAACTCAGGACTTCCCACTTGTTAGGCAGGTGCTCTACCACCTGAGCCACTCCGCCAGCCCTTAAAATGGGAAAGTTTTTTTATTGTGGTCCAAACTGCCACTGATTGAAGAAACAGAAAATTTGGGTGTGGTGGTGCATGCCACTAATTCTAGCACTGGGAAAGCCGAGGCGAGAGGATCCAAGAGTTCAAGGCCAGCACCTGAGCTAGGCTACATAGTTCCAGGCCAGCATGGGCTATACAATAAAACCCTGTCTGAGAAATATTTAACAAGAAGTTAAAGTTGGGGATGTAGCTCAGTGGTAGAGCACTTGCCTACCAAGTCCAAGGCAGTAGGTTCGATACCCAGTGTCACTCATGCACACGCATGCACACACATACACACACATACAAACACACACAGAGTTGGATTAGTAATTTAAGATCTTCCCATAAACAAGTGTCCAGGCCCAGATGGCTTAGCTTTGACATTTGATTTTTGTCAAATACTTAAGCAACACCACTCCTTCCCGAACTTGGAAAATAGAGAAAGAAGGATCACTTCCTAACTCATTCTGTTAGATCAGTATTTAACCTTTTTCCAAAGTGAGACAAACACACCATAAAACCAGAAAAACTGCAGAACAATACCCTCCAAGAACAAAATTCCTCAACAAAATATTAGCAAAACAAACTCAGAATAAGAAAATCATATACCATGCCAGGTACTGGTGGTCACACCTGTCATCCTAGCTACTCAGGAGTCAGAGATCAGGAGGATCGAAGTTAGAAGCCAGCCTGAGGCAAATAGTTCCTGAAACCCTATCGAAAAAAACCCATCACAAGAAAGGGCTGGTGGAGTGGCTCAAGGTGTAAACCCTGAATTCAAGCCCCAGTCCACCAAAAAAAAAAAAAAAAATCACACCACGATGAGGTAGAATTTATCCTAGTAATGCGAAACTGTTTTGTAAACTTAAAAGCAATTACTATGACATCATATAGAATAAAAGACAAAACCTAGCAATTATTTCAGGCACAGAAAAAAAGCAATCACAAAATCTAACATCTCATTTCTTAAATTAGGAATAGAAACGTGTAAAAGGACATCTATGAAGAATCTACAGCTAGTGTCACACTTTTTTTTTTTTTGGTAGTACTGGGGTTTGAACTCAGGGCCTCACGCTTGGTAGGCAGGTGCTCACCACTCGGCCAGCCTGCTAGCATCACACTCAATGGTTGCAGACTGAATGCTAAAGACAAAGGCGCAATATTTGGGACAAAGCAAGGATGTCGGTTTTTGCTACCTCTCTTCAACAGTGTACTGAAGATTCTGCCTAGTACTGTTAGCAGAAAGAAGACAGGCATCTAAATGAAGAGAGAGGAAAAGAGGATCCTGTGTGTGTGATACATCCTGGGATACACACACAAACAAATACTAGATCCAACAAATTTAGAATGGTCAAAGGGTATAGGGTTAATAGACAAAAATATTTCCCTAACAAGAAATAATAATGGAAATTAAGACAATTACATTCACAACAGCATTAAAAGGCACGCAACATATGCACGACTTGCACAATGAAAACAAAATATTGCTAAGAAACTAAGGATATCAATCAGAGGTTCTCACCCAGGAACCATGGCAGCATATGCAGGTGTCTTTGGTTGTCCTATTTTGAAGGAGGGGTTGCTCCTGGCACTTAATGGGTAGAGGCTAGGGATACTGCTAAACATTTGCAATGCACGTGACAGCCCCACCACAAAAAGTCATCTACAGCCAGGTCTGGTAATTCCAGTACCCAGGAGGTTGAAGTGGAAGGATTGTAAAGCCAGTCTGGGCCAGCCTGGACTTAAAAGTGAGAACTTGTCTCAAGAAATAAAAACATAGCTGGGCCGGTGGCTCACATCTGTAATTCTAGCTACTCAGGAGGCTGAGATCAGGAGGATCATGGTTTGAAGCCAGCCTGGGCAAATAGTTTTCAAGACCGTATCTCAAAAAAACCCATCACAAAAAAGGGCTGGTGGAGTGGCTCAAGCTGTAATTGTGCCTGCCTAGCAAATGAGGCCCTAAGTTTAAACTCCAGTGCTGCCAAAGGGGGGAAAAAAAAATCCTGTGAAGGTTCATAGCCACATTATTCTCAATATCCCTAAACTCAAAGCAATAAAAATACCCATCAACTAATGAGTGAGTAAATCAAGTGTTACCAAGATGAGTTAACATACGGTGATCGGTAATATGTTAATATATTAACACGAAATAATATTTAGCAACATGAACAAATAATTGATAAATAGTACAACATGGATGGACCTCGAAAATTTATGCTAAGGGAAAGAAGCGGTATTTAAAAACAAAAAACACCCCACTGCATATTTGACCGTGTATCTGAAATGTCCAGAAAAGGTAAATTTATAAACACAGGAGGCACATTAACAGTTTTCTAGGACTGGGAGTGGGAGCAAACAGGCAGGAACTCTTTTAGCTGATAGAAATACTCTTGGAGATATCCCAACTTCCTGAATTTACTAAAAAATCATTGAATTGTCTAGTTAACAATGGACGAATATTATGCCCTGTAAATGATCAATAAAACTGTTTTTTGTTTTTTAATGTCAGCTTGCCCAGGAGGGGCATATTGTCGAGGCATCTGAGGCTTTATTATTGTTGTACTGGGGGCACATTGTGACATTTACCAAAGTTCTTACGTTGTATCATAGCATCTGAGGCTTCTTGACAAATCTGCCCACTCAAGGCTAGCATTCTAGCTTCCTAACTTGTGGATTTGGGCTCTTAGGTGTCTAGTCTTTAGGAATTATCGTGTGCATTCAGAGTATGCCTGGGGCGAGAATGGAAAATAGCTCAGTCACTCATTCACATTTTGGTTCGGATAGTCTCGTTTTCGAGGTGTCATGGTTTAGTTTTAGGCTAGAAGAAACAGTAAGTGCAACGAGGTGGGTTAAGACCAAGCGATTCAGGAGCTAGAGCGACGAGAGAGCCAAGTGCAGGCCACGGAGGCGTCAGCCGCTCCCTTCAGGTGGCAAACTAAGAGTGCAGGCTCGGGAGGCCAGTCGGCCCGAGTTCAAATTCCACAGTGCCGCTTGTAGCTAGGACTGGACCAGTTGCGTAACTGCTTCGGTTCTTGTCCTACACAACGGAGGAATTACTGAACTCACGAGGACGGTGAAGAGCAGATGCGCTGAAATACGCAACGACTTCGTAGTAAGCTACTTGGTTTACTTCTCAACCAATAGGAGCCAAGGTGGGACTGTCCTACCCTCGAGGAGCGCTCCTCCGGGGGCCTTCGCTTACACGCAGCCCATCTGCGCGTGCGCAGCGCCGGTGGTCGCTATAGTAACGGCCACTCACTTCCGGTAGAAATACGGCGCGCGGTGAGGGCCAATCAGCCTCTGCCTTAGGTTCAGACGGGCACCTCGGAGCTGGTTCCGCCTTCTCGCAGTGTTACGGGCTTCTGTATCCCGGTTGCCATCCGGATCCTGCTGTCGAGCTGAGGCCGTGTGCCATGGACTTCTCCAAGTTCTTGGCTGACGACTTCGACGTGAAGGAGTGGATCAATGCGGCCTTCAAGGCTGGCCCCAAAGAGGCGCCTGCGGGAAAGGCGGATGGCCACGCGGCCACGCTGGTGATGAAGCTGCAGCTGTTCATCCAGGAGGTGAACCACGCCGTGGAGGGTGAGCAGCCGGCCGGCTCGCGCCCGAGTGCGAGGCGGACTTCCGCCTCTGACCGTGCATGCAATGTCCCTTGAAAACAAGCTTAAGAAGCGCGATGGAGAGTATTGTGTAATGGCTGACCCGTGCGTTCGGCAAAATCATATCAAAGGTGTACGGCCATGGTACAAATCTGCCGAGGAAGATGGACTGGCAGGAGCCAGAGAGGTTAACCATTTTTTAAAGGATAGTTACAGGAAATAATACACACCAATAACCGTTTCTTAGAGATGTATTTGCTGTGTGTTCATTCAGTACATATGCACGCCAGCCCTTCAGCTAGGCTCTGTCAGGCTGCTTCCACTGGAAGCCAGTGGTCCAGGTGACACAACTGTTTAACAGATGTGCTTTTATTACAAGAGAGCAAGGGGCTTTATGTCAGTGCAGATTCTTTATTGTATTTCGCATCTTTTACTAATGGCGGAGTATCTACTATGCTTGTAAAAGATACAGATACCTGGGAGGAATGTTTACTTTTGTGCAGCTTTGCCACCTGCGGGGAAGATAGGTAAACAGCTAGCGTACAATAAAGGCTGGCTTCAGGAAGCCCTGAGAGCTGCCGGGAGGGTGCCCTTACTCCTCGTCTGGGAGAATCCTGAGGGCTTCGTCTGTGTTAGGTCTTGAAGGAGTCCTGCATAGGGAAGAGAGAGGACATTAAAAATGGTGCAATGACATGTGTGAGGGTGTCAGGCACTGTTCTAAGTGCTATATTTGTACTGAGCCTGTTGAAAACCTTTCTCCCCTCCTCTCTACCCCCATCTTTGGGAATATGTGGAAATAGGTTGGGGCCTTTTTAATTGTGGGGAATGTCACAGTGATGGACATTGAGTGGAAGGACCCAACAATGTTTAATGTCCTGCAGTGTTTGGGACAGTCCAGCACAGTGAAGAATTGTCCTAGGGGCTGGCAGAGTGACTCAAGTGGTAGAGCACCTGCCTAGCAAATGTGAAGTCTTGAGTTCAAACCCCAGCACCCCCCACCCAAAAAAAAAAGTTGTTCTGACTGAAATGTTAATAGTGCTCCATTTTCTTGGCATGATTATTTAAATAAAATAATAAAAATACTTTGAAGTAGGCACAATCGTTATTCCTACTTTTTCGTTGTAGAAACCGAGGCTGAGAGAAGCTAGGTAACTTGTCTTAGTATCATGCTGGTAATGAATGGGGGAGTCGGTATTTGAAGCCAGGCAGGTGGTTCCCCAGCCTGAGGTCTTAACCCTTAAAGGGAGAGGGAGCACAGGCAGACGTGTGTGGGTACAAAAAGGCCTAGCCCATTCAGGGGAAGGTGAGCATATTTAACAGCTGTGCGCATAGCATCAATGAATAAGCATTATCAACTCACTTTCATGGGGACAGTGCAGCTGCAGATAATGCAGAAAAGTAGATTGGTGGTGCACACCTCTAATACCAGCACTGGAGAGGCTGAGGCGGAAGGATCCCAAGTTCAAGGCCAGTCTGTACTACATAATGAGACCCTGCCTCAATGAAAAAAATAAAGTTTATTGGAATCTGACTGCAAAAGGCCTTTTTAGCCAGCTTAGGGAGTTTCGCTTCCATTTCTTAGACAGTGAATAGCCTTCAGAGGTTTAGAACTTTATTTTTATGGAAGGTGAGACAAGAACCAGTCTCAAGTGATGACATGTATTGCAGAGATTCAAGCAGAAGATGTTGAAGGCCCCAAATTGGAGGATTTATTTTTATTTTTTGGCTTCCAAAGTGCATGTCATGTTTCCTTCCTTTCTTCCTGTTCAAAGCATGTCTGTTCCTCAAAGCTCAGCCAAGGTGTTTTCCAGTCTTAGCAGCTTGCTCTCCTTCCCAAGCTCTGGTGACTGTTTTTGTCACCTGATACTTTACAAGGGCAGTCCTGGGCCACTACTCCCTGACATCTCCCCGCCAGCTCGTCTTCACACTCTGTGAAGGCAGGGACTGCAGTGTGTAGTGCTGGCGTAAAGCTGAGAACGCCACAGGAACTGGAAGGAAACAGAGTCACCACCATTATCCTCTTCTCGTGTTGTAGGTGGAGAAACTGAGGTCCAGAGGGACCCATCCAAGGGAGAGCTGGGGAAGTCCTGGGTACTGCACTAAAAGCAAAGATAATGGTGCTCGTTGTGGTAGTGGAACTTCAGTGTGATGAATCTGAGATGTCCTTAGACATCTAATTGTTTGCACTTGCAGAAACCAAATACGATTTTAGCTGTTGGAGGTATTGTGGTTAAAGAAATCACTTGCACAGCTTTCCTTAAAGTTGGCGGGTTGTCAGGATTCTTTGGTCGTGAGCCTCAGACTCTGACCCCAGGTAATTTAGCAGGAAGGAAGTTTCTGGAAAAGATGTGGGCTTGTTTGCAGAATGGAAGGAATAGTTGAACCCCTGGGTTTAGAAATGGTGCAGTTTTGGGGAGCCAGGGCGGAGGAGCCTGTCCACAGAGTTTCCACGGACCCAGGTTTGGTCAGCACCAACCTTCTTGTCCCTGCAATCAAGACAGAAAGTCCCAAGAGAGAGAAGCCCACTTGAGTCATGAGCCACTTTGTGGCCACAGCTGGACCGGGCACTTGACTGACAATTCTGCCAGGATCACACAGGATCTAATCTAAAAGAAGTCAGTGTGCTATTACCAAAAGAGGGGAAGGGTGAGGAAAAGCCCTACACCTGCTTTCCCCAAACTTTAAATTGTTGGTTTGAGCAGGAATCAGTGCACTGCAGCCTGCTGCCTATTTCTGTAAATAAAGTTTTGTTGGAATGCTGCGTGCCCATTTGATTGTACATATTGTCTGGTTACTCTCACACTACAGTGGCAGTGTTGGAGGACAGACAGTACGATATGCTGTGCCACCTCCTTCTGTCCTTCATGGCCTGACCTTGAGCCAGGCTGTATTCAGTGTCCATCTCCTTACTTGTACAGTGCCTTTCTGGCTGACTTAATTTAGCTAGTTCTATAGTTAAGCTGATGCAAGTAGTTAAAAAACAGTCTTTACTTCATTAGAAAAGAAAGAAAATAACGCGTATCAGCGAGGATGCGGAGAAATTGGAACCCTTGTATATTGCGGGTGGGAACACACAATGATGCAGCCACTGTGGAAAACAGTGTGGTGGTGCTTCAAAAAGAATCAAACAGAAATTCCATATAACCCACCAATTCCACATCTGGCAGAGTCTCAGGAGAACTGGAGCAGGCTGTCAGAGATGTTTGTACACCTGAAATCGTAGCAGCAGTATTCAAAATGGCCAAAGGTGGAAGCAACCCAACTGTCTGCCGACAGATGAGTAGATGAGTAATATGGGCTATACATAGCCAATGGAGTGTTTTGGTTTTTGGTACCAGGGCTTGAACTTAGGGCGTTGCGCTTTGCTAGGCAGGAGTTCTACCACCTGAGCTACTATGCCAGCCCTTGGTTTTGTTTCTTTGAGACAGTGTCTTGCTTTGTAGCCCAGGCTGACCTTGAACTTGTGACCTTTCAGCTCTGTCCCTGAATGCTGAGCTCCTTGCTGGCATTCTTATGGAAAACTCAAATAGCCACATCTCAAAATATTATTTTGTTGGGCTGGCCGAGTGGCTCAAGTGGTAAAGAGCGCCTGCCTAGCAAGTGACCCTGAGTTCAAACCCCAGTGCCACAAAAAAAAAAATCAAAATGTTATTTTGCTCTGCCAGACATGAATATATCAAATGATATCAGAAATGAGGGCCAAACAAAAGAAATCACTATGTCCAAGAGGCACAGTACTTCTACAGGCTTCTCGTGGCAGTTTTAGCCCTGCTGGGTTCTTTCCTTCTCTTCCTCAAGGCGCCTGACAGAAAAGCCTGGCTGTGATCTTCGCTTATCCTTTCTCTGCATTGTGTGTAACAGCGGGACCTCCTCTGATGACAGTGCTTTAGAGCTACAAGCTCTCTTTTTTTCTTTTCTTTCTCTTTCTCTCTGGGTGGTACTGGGGTTTGAACTCAGGGCCTATACCTTGAGCCACTGCACCAGCCCTTTTGTGTTTTGGTGATTTTTGAGCTAGGGTCTTGCAAAGTATTTCCTGGGGCTACTTTTTGAACCACGAACCTCCTGATCTCTGCCTCCTGGGTAGCTAGGATTACAGGTGTGAGCCACTGGTGGCCTGGCTTTCTTCTTTTAATATCATATATTAATTGTGCGAAATAATGGGTGTCATTGTAACATTTGCATATTTGTATGCAATGTACTTTGGTCATATTCACCCTCCCCCGCTCTGCTCTCGTCCCCTCTCTCCCTGGTCTCCTTCTTCCCAAATAGTCCCCTTTTTACTTTCATGGTTTCTTTTGTTTTTTTTTTAATTTAGATTCTGCATATGAGTGAAAACCTGAGAATCTGTCTTTCTGAGTTTGGCTTTTTCACTTACTATGATGGTCTCTTTATGGCGGAATAAAACTCCGTCGTGTCAGTACACCGCCTTGTCTTTATCCACTCGTGTTGACGGGCACCTAGGCTGATTCCATAACTTGGCTGTTGAGAATCACTATGGCTGGAAACATGGGTGAGCAGGTGTCTCTGCTATAACTGATTAGATTCCTTCAGGTATACCCTGAAGTACTGTAGCAGGATCATGGGGCAATTCTATTTAGTTTTTTGAGGAGCCTCCCTATTGGTTCCCACAGGGCTGCACTAATTTACATTCTCACCAACAGTGCATGAGGTGCCCACCCTTCTTTGTCAGCATTTGTTGTTGTTTTTGTTGTTGTGGTGCTAGGGTTTGAACTCGGGGCCTACACCCTGAGCCTCTCCACAAACCCTTTTTTGTGATGGGGTTTTTCAAGATAGGGTCTTTGCCCAGGAGTGGCTTCAAACCTCAATCTGGGGCCTCTTGCTTGCTGTGCAGGGCTCTCTCACTTGAGCCCCTCCCCCAGCCCATTTATTGATTAGAGTATTTGTTCTTTTGGTATTTAATTTTTTTGAGTTCTGTACATGTTCTGAATATTAATCCCCTGTTAGGTGAATAGTTGGTAAATATTTTCTCTCATTCTGCAAGCTGTCTCTTCACTCTGGTAATCGTTCTTTTGCTATGCAGAAGCTTTTTAATTTGGTGTAGTTTCACTTGCCAGTCCGTGTTCCTGTTCCTGAGCTGTTGGAGTCCTATTCAGAAGGTAGTTGCTGAAGGCCAGGCATGGTGGCTCACCTCTGTCATCCCAGCTACTCAGGAGGCAGACATGGGACGATCAGGAGGCTTGTGGTTCTGAGGCTTAAGGCCCTCTTGGCAAAAAGTTAGTGGGACCCCATCTCCACCAATAAAAGTTAAGTGTGGTACATCTCTGCCATCCAGCTACACAGCAAGCATATATAGGAGGATCATGGTTCAGGCTGGCCTGCGCATAGAAATGCAAGACCCGTTGGGAAATTACCTAAAGCAGAGGGGCTGGCAGCATGGCTCAAGTGACAGAGCCGCCTGCATGGCAGGTGCAGGCCCTAAGTTCAGACCCCAGCACTGACAAAAAAAAAAGAAAAAGTTATGCAAGATATGCCTATATCTTGAAGGTTTTTTTGGAGGCACTGGGGTTTGAACTCAGGACCTCACACTTGCTAGGCAGGTGCCCTTGAAGTATTTTTCTTACGTTTTCTACTAATAGTTTTGAAGTTTCGGGTCTTACATGAAGTTCTTTGACTCATCTTGTTTGATTTTTGTATAGGGTGAGAGAAGGGGATCTAGTTACAGTCTTCTACCTGTGGATATTCAGTTTTCCAGCACTTGTTAAAGAGGCTGGTGGAGTGGATCAAATGGTAGGGTGTCTGCCCAGCAAGCGTGAGGCCCTGAGTTCAAATTGCAGTACCATAAAAAAAGGAGGCTGTCTTAATTTAAAATTTTTAATTTGAACTAATATGTAATAATTGTACGTACTAATGAGGCATAGTGGGGTTGTATCTCAGTAGTTGAGGGCTTGTGTAGCATTCTTGAGGCCCTGGATTTGATTCCCAACACCACAGAAAAGAAAGAAAGAACCATGTGTATACTGTGTAATGACCAATTCAGGATATTTAACTTATCCATTTCTGATACACTTACCATTTCTTTGTGACAAGAACATTCAAAATCTTCTAGTTATTTTGAAACATAGCTGTAATCACCCTTCCATGTAAGAGTATAGGAGAACTTATTCCTTCTATCTAGTTGTGGCTTTGTACCACTTAACCAGTCCCCCACCCCCATCCTCTGGTAACCACTCTTTAGTTTCTACCCAGTGGGAGAAAGTACTGACACTTGTCTTACTTATTCCTGGCTTACTCCATTTTGCATGTCCTTTAGGCTTATCCATGTTGCTACAAATGGCAGGACATTCTTTTTTCTACGGACCACATCTTCTTCCATTCATCTGTGGATGACTCTTAGGTTGTTTTCACACCTTGGTTTTGTAAGTAGTAAACACTTACAAAGTAAGTGCAGTAAATACAGGCGTGCAGGTATCTCTTTGACGTGCTGATTTCATTTTCTTTGGGCAGATAAGTGGTAGTGTAATTGCTGAGTTGAATGATACTGTAGTTTTCATTTTTTTGAGGATATTGTTTTTCATAGGACTGTACTAATTTTCATATCCACAACAGTGTGCAAAGGTTCTCCCTTCTCCACATTGGAGGATTTGTTCCTCCATTCTATCGATAAATATTTTCCTTGGGCACAAACTGTTTTCTAGGTTCTGGAGATATTGTTTAACAAGAACCAGTCATAAGCCTGGTGTGGTGGTGCATATCTGTAATCCCAGCACTTGGGATGTGGAGGCAGGAAGACCATGAGTTCAAGACCAGCAACAGAAAGACCTGGTCTTAGGTTGGAGAGCTCAGCAGGGGCCAGATAATGCCTGGATTGTAACTTCACATAAAACAATTTGGGTTATATTTAAAGTGAAGGTGCTGAAGGATTTTTAAACAGGAAAGTGACATGGTACAATTTATGTCCCCATTCAGGAAGTTATTGCTGCAGTAGAAAGACTAGTGACTTCAGCTGGGGTGGTGGCAGTAAAGGTGGTGATAAGTGGGGGATAGCTTTAAGATACTAAGATATGTATTTATATATAATTTTTTTTGGCACCCTGGGGTTTGAACTCAGGACTTTGTGCTTGCTAGGCAGGTGCTGTACCACTTGAGCCACACTTGTAAGTGTCTTCAGAAAGTTATTTTTGGCTGGTCAGTTGCTCATGCCTGTAGTCCTAGCTACTCAGAAGGCAGAGATCAGGAGGATTGTGGCTCAAAGCCAGCCCAGGCAAATAGTTTGCAAGACCCTATCTTGTAAACACGCAACACAAAAAAGGGCTGGTGGAGCGGCTCAAGTGGTAGAGCATCTGCCTAGCAAGCGTGAGGCCCTGAGTTCAAACCCTAGTACCACCAGAAAAAAAAAAAAAAGAAGCCAGCTCTGGCACAGCACTGTGCAGAGTGCGAAATGGCTGTCTAAGGACTGAGGGGTACAGTTTGCCCTCTTCCACCCAGGTGGGGAAGCAGTGAAGAAACAGAATGGGACTCTCCACATGTGGTTGGGACCAGCATCTTCATCTGGAGATGTGTTAGAAATGCAGATCTTCTTTAAAAATTTTGTCAGAACTAGGGTTTGAACTGAGAGCCTCGCCCTTGCTAGGCTGGAGCTCTATGGCTTGAGCCACACCTCCAGCCCTTAGAAAGGGATCTTGGGTCCATTGCTACCCTCTACTAATTGAGAATCTGGATGATTCTGAAGTGTGCTCAGATTTGAGAGTCCCTGGGCTAATTGGAGACTTCCTTGGGTCTCTTTTCTCCAGCCTAGTTATCATGGCCTCCAGCTCAGTTGGGGCCACCTGTGGACACTTACACCCTCAGTCCCTCGAACTTGTAAAACACCTGGGCTCAGGGTGTGACTCACTGTTTTCAGGTTCTGTAGATAAAAATGATCCTTAGCCAGAAGTTACGGATGAATTAAGGGAAGGCCTGGGAGAGCCTGCTTTTCCTTATACCTCAGGCTGTCCCTTTCCTTGGCCCTACCTTCAAGGTTCTGTTTCAGTTAGGATATCCCAGAACCCCAGGAGAAAGAGGCCAGAGCTTTTGGCTTCTCATTTGGAAGGTGTCACTGGCAGATGAAATTTCAAAACAGAAGCCTTCCATTTGCAGCATCACCCACTAATTGCTCTGACTCAGAGCAATGACTTATTTTGGGTGGACACCTACTAAAAATTTCCTTAACTCAGCTTCATGGAAATAAGAAAAAAGTATTTTCAAAGTTCACTCAACAAATACATCTTTTTTTCTGCTCTACATTGGGTGGTCCTTTAAAGTAGCACTCCTCCTAGTAATAAAGAAATTGAGCATGTTCCTAAAAGGAAGTTAGCAGAAAAAGTCCCAACAAAATAAAAATACAGACACAATTAAAAAAGACCATAGAAAGTAGGCACATGTTCAGGTGAAGTCTTGAGCCTCAGGTTTTTTTTGTTGTTGTTGGGAAAATGGTGGTCAAACCCTGGGCTTGTTCATGGTTGGGAAGGACTCTACTACTGTTCTCTGTCCCCAGCCCTTGGTTTTTTGAGACAGAGTCTTGCTTTGTAGGCCAAGATGGCCTGGAACTCAAGCTCCTCCTCCTTTCACCTCTTGAGTGCTGGGATTACAGGTGTGAAGCACCATGTCTGGTAGGCCTCTGTTTTCTTATTAGTGAGAGACAGCTGCTAATGGTGGCCAGGAACATTACACAAAGTAACATAGGTGATGCCCTTGGTGCGTAGCTGGCATCTGCTCAGGGTAGAGGCCTCATCCTCATCTGCTCGTCCTCCCTTGCAAAGGGTTTTGAGAGAACTCAGTGCTGTTCAACAGCTGCTGTTGGGCCAGATTGATGCTTTATTCCTTGTTAGAGCACACACTCCTCCCTTATCGCCTGGGGAGGACATGGCCCTGGCCCAGGTCACCTCACACCCATCCCCTGTCCTGCCCCTCATTTCCTGCAGGCTCCAGAAACTGATGGGTAACTGTTTAGGAAAGGTTTCCTCTCTGCTGTCTCATTTGCATCACAGTTTTCACTGTGACATGTCCAATTTTCACTTTATTGCTCTTCACTTTTTGCTACAGAAACAAGTCACCAGGCTCTTCAGAACATGCCCAAAGTGCTCCGTGATGTGGAAGCCCTTAAACAGGAGGCATCTTTTCTGAAAGAACAGATGATTCTTGTCAAGGAGGACATTAAAAAATTTGAGCAGGACACATCGCAGTCCATGCAGGTATCATGGCTTCTGATCTAAGTGTTGAGCCTTGTTTCTGCCCTATGTTCACTCAAGGGGGTTCAGAACAGCACAGCCTCACGGGGGGCCCCACTGAACTCAGAATTCCCTTTTCTTGATTATTTCAGCTTATTTGGCTCTTTTGTACCCGCAGAGTGAAATTGGCAAGTGGTTGTTCAGTTTCAGTAGCTCCGTGAAAACAGGCATGCCACGACCCTTACGTTTCAAGTCACTGGTGGAAGGGAGAGAAAAGGAAATGCCACTTCACTTTTTGCTCCCCATCACTCTTTCAGGTGTTGGTGGAAATTGACCAGGTGAAGTCCCGGATGCAGCTTGCTGCTGAGTCTCTTCAAGAAGCAGACAAGTGGAGCACGCTGAGCGCTGATATCGAGGAGACATTTAAGTCTCAAGTAGGTCTCCTGTGTAGAGGACATTGGGAGATTCAGTTAGGCAGGAACTTAAGGCCTGGCGGGATGTCCACATGTTGGGTGGGGAAGATCTGAAACTGCCCGGAGCACCTACCCTCTGTCGTTTGCACCCTCTGCTTGTCAGAAGCCTCTTAGTGACAGACAGTGACTCAGGAAGACCTCAAAAAAAAAAAAAATGCACAGGTGGTGGTGAAGGTGGGGGAAACGGGAGCATGGAACATGGGTAAGTGGACCTCATATACTGTGGACCCTTGGCAGGCTCAATGCTTCCGAGGCTGCCAGGTGCAGACAGTGCTAGTACCTTTAAACCTGGTTGCAAGGGTTTTATGAAAAACTCTTTTCAACTGTAAATCAAAATTAAGTTATAACCCTGGCCTGCAGTCCCCGAATTCTCTTCTTCAGACTTGAGCAGCTTTCTGTCTGTCCTTCCGGAGTTTTTCCCCAAACCACACAGTTCGAACACTGCTGTGCACCCTCTTTCTCCTCAGTGGTGTATTTGTTATTCCGCCAGTTATCATTATCTTTTAAGCATGGAGAGCCCCACTCCTCATTCCATTGCCAACCCATCAGGATGGTCACAGGTTTAATTGGTGCAGGCCTCTGAATGTAAGTTGCAAATTTTACCGCATTGCTGGCACATGTGTATGGGAGAAAATGAATTTAAATATTAAATATTGTCTGTTCTTTTTTTTTTTTTTGAGACAGGGTATCGTTACGTAGTTCAGGCTGTCCTGGAACTCACAATCCTCCTTCCTTTACCTCTTGGGATTATAGATGTACATTGTCCCCCTCAATGACTTTCATTTTAATAATTGTAAACTGATGTTTATTAGCTGCAAGTTCTAAATCTTGCTTTTCTTCCCTGTCCTATCCTGATACTCAGAACTAACTGCCTACAAGACCATATATATCCAGCTAGGCATCCCTGGGCCTTTGAAAACTGAATTCTTTATTTCTCTTCTAAGACATTTACTCTTTCCTGTGCCCTGCCCCCATCATAGGTAATGAGGTCAGCTTCCATCCAAGCATTTAGACTGGAAACCTCAGAAGTCATTCCCTGCTCCCTCTTCCACCACTCCAGTCGTGCTTCCCAGTCATTTGCTCCTGAATCTTCGGAGCAGAGCACCATCCATTGTTTTACTTGCCACCAGGTCCTCCACACTCCAGTTTGTTCTGCATATGTGACCATAGGACTCTGCTGAGAGCCAAATCAGCATATGCTATTTCCCCATTTCCCTGTCCTGGATTTTGACTTTTAGTGGCTCACCGTTTCCTACCGGATGAATTCTAGGCACACTTACAGGCAAGCCTCTCCTTTACCACAGCTGTGGCTGCCCTTTCAGCCTATTCTGAGCCCAGTCCCTCTTGGGCCTCCACCTTGTGCCTGCTCCAGACTATTAACAGGCAACTCCTTTTCTGCCTTCAGTTCTCTGCCTCAGCTGTGCTTCCTTGCCTTTTCTTTGCAGAGCGGGTACCTCCACTCATTCCTCAGGGTCCAGCCAAAGGCTCTCCCTGCTGGCGCCTTGCCTCTCATAGGCAAAGGTAACTGCTCCTATGACACTTGAGCCATTCTGAAATGTGTCATCTTTCCCAGTGCATTGTGGGCGCGTCTTTGTAAATGTGACCTTACTCATCTTTGAGTGTCATTATTTAATACAGTGTCATGATACTGAAATGAAGCATGGCTAGGTGTTACTCTGTTATTCTTTACTTTCCTAGTCACAAACAATGTATGGGTATCTCTAAAGAGTGGGGAAATTCAGAAATATACAAGGAAGAAAAAGTGTCCATATTTCTAGAGCCTAGTAATACACTTTTTAAGCTCAACAGATACTTTTATGTGTTTATACATACTTGAACTTTTGTATATATTACATCATATTTTGTATATATCACATATTTACATTGATATAATGTAATAATAAAACTGGGACTGGAACTGGGACTGGTATATAGATACTTTTTTTGGTGGGACTAGGGTTTGAACTGAGGGCATTGCACTCACAAAGCAGGTGCTTTACTGCTTGAGTCACGCCTCCAGTCCATTTTTCTCTGGTTATTTTGGAGATGGGTCTTGAGAACTATTTGCCCAGGTTGGGCAAACCATGCTTCTTCCAATCTCAGCCTCCCAAGTAGCTGGTATTACAGGCATAAGCTACAGCTATAGCACCTGGCCGTAGCTACTTTCTAAGTGTTTACTTAACTTAATAGTGTGTTGTAAGTATTTTGTTTTACTACTTTTTAAAACCATAAATTTTAACAGGTGCACAGTGTTCCACATACCATTATAAGTAAGCCATAATTTATATTTATTTGTTATGGAAAATTTAGGTTGCTTCCAGGTTTTTGTGATTTTAACACTAAAATCATTTTTTTTTTGAGACAGGGATTCATTACATAATCTAGGTTGACCTAGAACTCACTCTAGCCTAGGCTGTCCTGGAACTCACCATACTCCTGCCTCAGTCTCCCAAGGGCTGGGATATAGGTACGCACCACCATGCTTAGCTAAAATCACATTAATCAATTAAAATACATTAATATCTTGATGTTTTTTGAATTTTTTTTTTAAGTAAAAGTAGCAGTAAAGTTTATTAGGAGAGGAGCAGTGGGGAGAAAAGAGAGAGAGAAGCATTTCCTGTTCCCTGTGAAGGAAATGGGAGCAAAGACTGAGTATTTCTTTAAGACAGATTTCTAGAAGAGAAAATACCAAGTTAAAGGATGTGAATTTTTTTTTTGGCAGTTCTGAGGTTTAGTAAGGTCCTTGTGCTTGCTAGGCAGATGCTTTACCACTTAAGCCATGCCCCAGGGATCCCCCCCGCCATTTTAAGGCTAAAATGCCTTCCAGTAAGACAGTATGCATCAGTGATGCCAGATGGATTATCTTTGTCCTTACCTTCACCAGTAATAGACATTATAATTTTTCAAAGGCTTTCTCGGTTTGTTAGAGAGAATGGCTTCTCTGTTTAAATTTGCATTTATTTCAGTACTAACATCGTTGAACATAATGTTTGTGGGCCTTTTATTTTATGAGTTGCCGTTTCTTGTATTTTTATCCATCCTAATTGAGGTAGCAGGGGTCTTGAAAATAAATACTGTCTCTTCTGGTCTTGTAGGACACAGCTGTGATCTCTGCCAAGCTAATCGGTATGCAGAACAGCTTAATGATGCTTGTTGACACTCCAGACTACTCGGAAAAATGTGTGTACTTGGAGGCTCTGAAGAACAGGCTGGAGGCCCTGGCCAGCCCCCAGATTGTGGCAGCCTTCACCTCTCAGTCTGTCGGTGAGTGTGTCATCTTTGTGCACGGCTCTTTGTAAAGATGAGGCTTTCTGAGTCTTCAGAAAGTCTTGGTGTTGACTAGTTATGTAGATTGCAGATGATTCTGTAACTTCATGATGTTTGCATGTTTTCAACATTTTACATTAAATTTCTAATGTATGGAAAAGTAGGAACAGGTGCTGTGAACACCAGTCTCTCTTACACTTTCACATCTTATTGTTATTTTAGGTCTATTCCACATAGGAGTGAAAACGTGGGATTTATCTTTTTATTAGCATAAATTAATTGTACAAAGAGGTTTCATTGTGATCTTTACATACTTGCAAGCAAGGTACTTTGATCAATTTGCTCCCTGACTAGTCTTTTTTTTTTTTCTTTTTTTGGTGGTACTGGAATTTGAACTCAGGGCCTCACACTTGCCAGGCAGACACTACTGCTTGAGCACCAGTCCTTTTTTGCATTGGGTATTTTCGAAATAGGGTCTTGTGAATCATTTGTCTGGACTGATTTTGAACCATCATCCACCTGATCTTTGCCTCCTTGAGTAGCTAGGATTACAGGCGTGAGCCACTGATGGCAGCTTCTGACTAGTCTTTTTTGACTCCACCTTCATTTTCCCCTCCCCCTATATATATATATACATATATATATATATATAAAATATAGATTGATCACAGTCACCTCCCCTCTCTCTTTGGTTCTCTCCAAGCACTCCCCTTTTACAGTCATATCATATTCATAGTAGTAGTGCTATTTTTAGGTCTAGATTCTGCATATGAGTGAAAATGTGATATTTTTTTGAGCTTGGCTTATCTCAGTCAACTGGAGATATCTAGTTCCATCTATTTTCATGCAAATGATGTAATTTCACTCTTCTTTCTGACTGAATAATACTCCGTTGTGTATATAGAGCACATTTTCTTTATCCACTCGTCTGTTGGGCATCTAGGCTGATTGCATAGCGTAGCTGTTGTAATGGCTGCTCACGTGTCTCTCTTGTATGCTGACCTACACTTCTTCAGTGTCTTAAGAGTGGTATAGCAGGACTATGTAGTTCTGTCTTAGTTTCTTGAGGAACCTCCATACTGATTTCCACTATGGCTGGACATTCCCACAGTACTGTATTGTATATGGGGTCCCTACACCCCTGCATTTGTTGTTTGTTTTCTGTTTTCTTGATGATGGCCATTCTCTCTGTGGTGAGCTGGAATCTCAGTGAAGTTTTGATTTGCATTTTCTGTATGACTGAGGATGTTGAACATTTCTTCATGTTTTTATTGTTCATTTGTACTTCTTTTGAGAACCATCTGTTCAATTTGCTCATTTATTAATGGGATTATTTGTTCCTTTGGTGTTTAATTTTTTCAAGCTTTTTATATATTTTGGATATTAATCTTCTGTCCAATGAATAGTTTGCAAAGATTTTTCTCTCACTCTGAGGGCTGCCTCTTCATCCAGGTAATTGTTTCCTTTGATATGCAGAAGCTTTTTAATTTGATGCACTCTCTTTTGTCAATTCTTGTGCTTATGTCCTGAGCTGTGATGTCCTGTTTAGAAAATCCTTGCCCGTGCCTGTATCTTTAGGTGTTTTCACTGCACTCAGAGTCAGGTGTTACATTAAGGTCTTTGATCCCTTTTGAATTGGCTTTTGTACATGGTGAGAGACTGGTCTAGCTTCAGTCTTCTACGTGTGGTTATCCAGTTTCCTAACTCCATTTGTTGAGGAGACTGTCTTTTCTCCAATGTTTGTTTTTTGTCAAAAATCAGATGGCTACTGTGTGGGTTTCTTTCTTTTTTTGTCAGTACTGGGGTTTGAACTGCGGCCTTGTGCTTGTTAGGTAGGTGCTCTACAGCTAACACCCCCAGCTCAATGCGTGAGTGTAGTTCTCAGTCTCCTGATCTGTTCCATTGGTCTGTGTTTCTGTTTTTACTGTGTGTCTGACTTCTAGTGTGGTGTTGGATAACCTCTAGCTTTGCTCAGGATTGCTTTGGCTATTTGGGATCTTTAATGCTCCCATGTGGACTTTAGGGTTGTGAATTGAGGTGGGGATCACATTGAGTGGCTAGTCTGCGTTCAATCCTGCAGTCCTCTTTACCATGCCTGGCTTAGAAAATGATTTTTTTTGGTGAGACCAGGGCTTGAACTCAGCCCTTGTGCTCGCTAGGCTTTACTATTTGAGCCATGTCCCTGCCTTCTAATTTTCTATTTTATGTCTGTATTTCCTTCCTAGTTTGTTTTTCTTAGCTCAGCCAGCTTCCCTTGCATGTCATTGTGATACCTTAGATCCTGTTAAATAAAGCATATGCTTTCTTTTTCTAAATTATATACTTTTATAATTTCCTTGAGAGTGTAAAGCAACTGCCTGAAATTTTCTGTTTCCCAGAGTAAATCTCTTGAAGGGTGTTTCTTTAATTTTTTTTTTTGCAGTACTGGGGTTTGAACTCTTTTCTTTTTTTTTTGGTGATGGGTGTTTTCAAGATAGGGTCTTGTGAACTATTTGCGTAGGCTGGCTTGGAATCTCAGTCCTCCTGATCTCTGTCACCTGAGTAGCTAGGATTACAGGGTGAGCCTCCAGTGCCCAGCTAAATTGTTTTTTAATATGGTAAAATATGTGTAACATAAAATTTACCATTTTTACTATTTTGTAAGTGATAGTTGAGGGGCATTAGTACGTGCATCACCACCATCCATCTACAGAACTTCTTCCTAAGCTGAAGCAATAACTACTCATCTTCCCACCCCCGACCCAGGTAACTGCTGTTCTGCTTTCTGTCTCTGTGGATTAGATAACTCTAGGGACATCAGTCGCAGCCCAGCCCCCTGTGTGTTGGGACAACAGGAAGAACTTCCTATTTGTGGAATCACGTAGTATTTGTCCTTTCAACTGGCTTATTTCACTTAGTGTGATGTCATGAGGGTGCACCCGTGTTGCAGCAGGTGTCAGAATTTTCTTCCCTGTAAGAAAGAATAATACTCCATTGTATGTGTGCATCACGTTTTCTTTCCCCAGTCATTCATTGATAGGTGCCTGGTTCTTCCACTTTTGGCTATCATGTGTAATGTGGCTATGATCTTGTGTGTACAGATATGGGTTTGAGTTCCAGCTTTCCATTCCTTTGGGTATATACCTAAAGTAGAGTTGCTGGATCATGTGTTGATTCTGTTTTTAATTATTTGGCTGTTTTTGGTGGTCTTAAGGTTGAACACAGGGCTTCATGCTTGCTAGGCAGGGGCTCTACCACTTGAGCCTTGCTCTTGGTTATTTTTGAGATAAGGTCTTTATGCCACAGGCAGGCCTGGACCACGATCCTCCTGTTTATGCTTTCTCACTAAGCTGGGATGACAGAACTATACCACCATACCCAGCCATGGTATGGAACACCATCTCAACATTTTGCCCGGTCTGGTCTCTACCTGTGATCCTCCCAATCTCTGCCTCCTGAGTAGGTATGATTATAGGTGTGAGCCACTGGCACCTGGCTGTATATGGTTTTATATAAGGGTTCACTTTCATCCTTTTGCATGTGGGTGTCATTTTCTGAGCACCATTTGTTGAAAATCACCAAATGATCTCGGTACTCTTGTTAAAATAGTTTGACCACATAGGCGAGTGTGTTTCTAGGCTCTATTCTGTTCCATTTTCTTCATGTTTATACTTATGACAGTACCACACTGTTCTCCTTGTTGTAATTTCATAGTAAATTTTGAAATCAGGAAGCATGAGACTTCCAGCTTGTTCTTTTTCAAGATTGTTTTGGCTGTGCAGGACCATTTGACACCCTGTATTAATTTGAGGAGAGATTTCTCTGTTTCTGCAAAGAACATTTTGGGCTCTGGGTAGGAAATTGCATCACTTTGTATATCCCTTTTCGTAGCATCAACATCTTAATGACATTAGTCTTTCATCCATGAACGTGTGTGCCCTTTATCGATCTGTGTTATCTTTAATTTCTTCCAGCAGTATTTGTAGTTTTTAGTGTATAAATCTTTTGGCTCTTTGGTTAGGTTTATCCTTAAGTATTTTGTTATTTTTGAAGTTGTTGTAAATAGAATTAATTTTTTAAAGATCATTTATTGTTGGTGCTTAGAAATGGCTGTTGACTTTGTATTCTGCAACTTTGCTAAGCTTATTAGTTTTAATAGTATTTTTGTGGAATCTTATGGTTTTCTACATATAAGATCTTGTCTGTAGAGATAATTTTAAAATTTAAAAAAAATTTTTGGTGGCACTGGGCCTCATGCTTGCTAGACAGCTGCTTTACCACTTGAGCCACTCTGCCAGCCCTTTTTTTTGTGGTGGGTGTTTTCAAGATAAGGTCTCATGAACTGTTTGCCCAGGCTGACATCAAACTGTGATCCTCCTGATCTCTGCCTCCTGAGTAGCTGGATTACAGGTGTGAGCCAGTGGCTCCTGGCCTGCAGACGTAATTTCACTTCTTTCTCCCCGTTTGAATACCTTTTATTTTCTGGTTGGGACTGTCGGCACTATGTTGAATGGGATTGGAGCACACAGCATCCTTGACTTGCCACTGATACTAGAGAAAGCCCACGGTCTTCACCACTGAGTATCTTCCTAGCTGTGGCTTTTTCAAAAGTGTATGGCCTTTGTTATATTAAGGCAGTTTCTTCCTCTCTCTAGTTTATTCAGTGTTTTTATTATTAAAAAAAAAAGTGTTGAGTTTTGTTAAATTCTTTTTCTTCCTCAGGTGAGATGGTCATTATTCTCTTCTTTATTTTTTTATGGTGCTGGGATTTGAACCCAGGGCCTTGTGAATGCTAGGCAAAGGCTCTGCCACTGAGCTACACCTTTTTTTTTTTTTTTCATTTTTCTTTTATTATTCATATGTGCATACAAGGCTTGGTTCATTTCTCCCCCCTGTGAGCTACACCTTGTTATGTACTATATTACATTGATTGATTCTTGTACTATCCTTTCGTCTGGGGATAAATCTCACTTGGTCATGATGTGTGATACTTTCAGTGTGTTCTTGAATTTGGCTTGCTAGTTTTCTGTTGAGGATTTTCACATGAATATCCATCAGGGATATTGGTTTATAGTTTCCTTTTTTTTGTTGTGTCTTTGTCTAGCTTTGTTATTAAGGTAATGCTGGGATCATAGCATGAGTTAGGATATGTTCTTTCCTCTACAGTTTTTTTGGAAGACTTTGAGATGGATTAACATTAGTTCTTTAAATATCTAGTAGAATTCACCAGTTAAGCTGTTTGGTCCTGTTTTTTTCATTGTCAAGAAGGTTTTTTTTTTTTGGTTTGGGTTTTTTTTTTTTGACAGTTTGGGATTTGAACTCAGGGCCTCACGCTTGCTAGGCCGGTCGTGCTCTCCTACTTCAGCCATACCTCCAACCCCTCCTTGTTTTTTAAGACATAGAGTTAGGTGGTGTTGATGTTCTCTTCCTTTTCCTTCTCCTTTTCTTTCTCCTCCTCCTCTCTTCCTTTTCTTTCACAACATGGTTTCACTATGTATGCCTGGCCTGGAAATCACAGTCCTTGTGTCTCTGCCTCCCAGGTGCTGGGATTACTGGCATATGCCACCATGTCCTCTGAGTTGTTTTTAATGTAAGCATTTACCATGATAAATCATATCACTTGGCACTGTTGTTCTGTATCCAGTGAGTCTGGCTTGCTGTGTTTTCATTTTTGTTTGTCCCTAAGCATTTTAATGACGTTTTTATTTACTATTTTTTATTTTTTGGTGGTAGGGGGTTTGAATTTAGGGCCTCACACTTGCTAGGCAGGCCATTCCACCAGTCCCTCAGTTAGTTCTTTAAAAGTGTATTGCTTAGGTTAGGCTACCCATAATTATCACAAGGAATACCCCCTGTACAAAAAATATATGCTAATAGAATGAAAAGTACTGCCGACACCCCAAAAAAGTGCGTTGCCTGTTCTTCACATATTTGATCTTCCACTTGATTTTGCTGTTGGTTTCTGGTTTATTTTTATTGGGGCTGGAAAAGACACGGTATGATTTCTATGATTTCAGTCCCTAAAAGTTATTAGGACTTGTTTTATGGCCTAACATATGGTCTATGGGAACATGCACTTGAGAAAGTGTACCTTGTGCTGTTGTTGGGTGGAGTGTTCTGTGTCCGTCGAGTCTGTTGATCTGCTGTGGTTCCATTCTTCTTTCCTTGTGACCTCCTCTCTAGTTCTTCAGGTGCTTCCTTACTGTGCCTTCTGCATGCTCTGTTCGCTATATTGGCAAATTCTGCTTTATTATTCATTTGAGGAAATAAATTCTGCTCAGCTAGGTAGACATTTTAAACACGTGATTATAGGTTTAGACCAGGCATTGTGGCAGTTGCTTTCTGAAAACGTCTCTGAATGGAACCTAGTGTTAACTTGTCACAGAGCGTGGCTGTATTGTAGGCAGTTTTTCTTCTTTTCTTCTTATTCTGTTTCCTGTTTTCCCCACCATGAGCACACTGTGATTAAAGCTGGAAAACAGTGCTACTTAGATAATTGTTAATTTAATCCAGTTCTGGAGGGCCTACCTTGTGTTGTGCTCATTTCTGGGAACAGTGAAATAAGACAGGAAATGCCACAGCCCTCGCCGAGCTTCATTTCTATAGATGAGAAATGATAGCCAAGTAAGATAGGTAAAGGTTGTGATCAGCTCTATAAGGGAAGCTGTTCGGGGGATTAGCAGGGAAAACCTAATTTAGGTTGGCTGATTAGGAACAGATGGAGTACGTACAAAGGTCCTGTACTTACTTGCAATGAGCTTGATTTGCTCTCAGCACATGACAGTGGTCTGCTTGTCTCAATCATATAAATTTGGATGGAGTCAGGTGAAGCTGCTGTTTCTGTAGTCAGCACAGTTGAATTCCAGCAGTTTCGTGTGCTTCACCTTTCCTGTGGTTTCACAGTCCTGCCACCAACTGCAAGTTGGGGTGTGGTTTCCTCACTTGTAAAATGAGCTTGCAGGATTGATTTTAGGTACCTGTCACTGACAGTCGTACTCTATTGTTTTGTTTTAAGGGCTGGTGGAGTGGCTCAAGTGATAAGAGTGCCTACCTAGCAAGCATGAGGTCCTGAGTTCAAACTTCAATACTGTAAAAAAGAAAAAAAAAAAAAGGAAAGTTTTGTTTTGTTCTCAGAGGTTTATAGCCTCCTCCTGCTTCAGCCTCCCAGGTGCTGGGAGACTAACAGTTCATGATTTTAATCAGGGCCAGGCCTAGGTAAGGCAGGTGAGTGTGCCCTTGCACAACCTGAGAGGAAAGGCTTCTTAAATTTTACACCCAGGCTCGATCCCAGTCCCAGCCCTGATTGTAATTCACTGTACTGTCCTGTGCACAGATGCTGGTGTGTGGGCTTAGCCATACCGGTGGTACTTACCCATGCATGGTGTTAACCAGCCAGGACTTGTGAACACCTGTTCTGCTCTGTACTTATTTCTCATAGTTCCTATGGCTCAAGTCAATTCGTTATCTATGCGGGAACTTCTGAACTCTAGCTTCCCTATATCCACACTTACCTTCGTAAATTCTTTGTACCAGGAAGCCTAGCAACAGTATTTACATGTTTTGTGTTGTTCTTTAGATCAGTCCAAAATATTTGTGAAGGTCTTTTCTGAAATCGACCGGATGCCCCAGCTCCTGGCCTACTACTACAAGTGTCACAAGGTAAGAAGCCGTGACTGATGTGGTTATGGAACGCCACTAACAGGCTGCAAAATCCATTTCATACTCAAAGGTAAGACTGCCTCCTGGCCCTTTGGATGCTGTTATTTTAGGTAGCCAGTAGGGGGTGCTCTTGATCCAAACTGTGGATGCATTTAGTTTCTGTCTGGAAGAAGTATTCATCATCCTCTTTTATATCTATGGCTGCATTTATTTACAGACTTGAAACATTTTAATTCCCGTTTTTGTATTTTAAGGGCGATTCATGTCTAAAGCTTTAGCATTCCCTTCACAAAGCCGTAATCACTTTATGTTCTCTAGCAGTGGTGAAGTTAGGTTACACAAAGCCCGAAGCTTCCTGGGTGCACGTTCTTTATTTATTTATTTTTAAATTTTTTAATGGCTTTTTTTTTGTGGCTGTACTGGGGTTTGAGCTCAAGGCCTTACACTTTCTAGGCAGGTGCTCTACCACTTGAGCCACTCCACCAGCCCCTCCTGGGTGCACTTTAATTCCATCAGGGCAGCAGTCAGGGGAGGACAGGAAGCGTCAGCACATGCTGTTGAGAGGGGTAGTGTGCGGGTGCAAGCGCCCAGTGTGCTCTTCGGGCAGCCTGAAAGGACACGTGGAAGACTATGATAGAGCAGGCCTTTCTATTTGGTCTTCAGTGAGTGGGTGCAGTGGGTGCTTGGGTGCACAGGGTGGCAGGCAGCGGTGAGTTACTTGCCTTGGCAGGCGGCTTTTCTTGGTGGACTCGTAAGCCCCTTCATTCTACCCCTGCAGGTGCAGCTTCTAGCAGCCTGGCAAGAGCTGTGCCAGAGTGATCTTCCCCTGGACCGGCAGCTCACCGGCCTCTATGATGCCCTCCTTGGTGCTTGGCATACCCAAATCCAGTGGGCCACGCAGGTAACAGCTCACTCTGGTTCTAGGGAAAACAAAGCCTGTGGGAACACGGGAGGGGGATTGCCTGGGGGCAGCCACTCTCAATCACAGAGCAGCCCTAGAAGAACTTGCCGTCATCATCCACAGGGTTAAGAGATAGGTTTAGAGCCCACGTCACTAAGCTCTTCAGGTCACCATGAAAAACATCTTACCACACTTATCTGTTATCTTAGCCAGGATCTGTTGTGACAGTTGCCTGTTGTTCAGCAAGGGGGCCTTTGGAATTCCTGAGAGGCACTATTTTCAGATCTAAAAGCAGGAGGCCCCAGTCAGGTGGTGGTGGAGGGAGCGAGACTTTTAGCTTAACTTCAGGTCAGGTTTACAGGGCCTGCGGTTAGCTTCCCTTGTTCTCACACTACACCAAGAAGTGGAGAACAGGATAACTTGAAAGGCACCCTCTGACCAGGGATGAGGTGACACAGAAACTTGCCATCACTTCTCCCCTAAGTCTGCAGGCGCTTGAGCCATCAGGTGTGATCCATTGTTGCCTGCTCCCAGTGCCAGGGGCACAGCACATCCCCTTCTAGAAGGGAAAAGCCTGTCCTCCTAGGGAGTGATGACATACTAGGCCTGATGATGGCTTATTAATAATATTCACAATTAGTTGTGACTCACTCTTCAAATGTTTCCTGGAATGAGCTACACTACTCAGAATTCCTGTACAGGCTTATCCCATCCAATCTGATTAAAGCACACTTCTCCCAGCCTTCTTTCTTTTTCCTTGAACTAACCTAATTTAGACTTAGGTTTTAGTTTCCTGTAGAGCGTCACAGTTTCCTGTAATTACCAGCTCACTGAAAAGTGAGCTTGTCATCCATACTCACTTATGTGACCTTGCCTCTTCTGCTCCTCCTTGTGTCATGGGGATAAAGCAGCTCATGCCCTTCTTCATCTAAGTAAAGTGCCTTAGATTTCTCAGATAGAAGTCTAGTTCTCATGCTCAATTTTGTAAGGCTCATTTATACTTTTGGCCCGTGGCCCATTTGCTTTACAAGTGTAAACATGATAGGTAGACTTTTCCTGAAGCTCAGAATAGTACAAAGTAAAGCCAGAGGCACCAAGGTCAGTGTGTCTGCTTTGGTCTTTTTACCCCCAGTATTTAAAAGGCACCTTTTTCTTTTTTACATTTTGGTGATCAAGCCCAGGGCCTCTCATGCTAGGCAGGCACCCTATCATTGAGCTGTACCCTCAACCCTCCCCAGTGTTTTAATATGAACATTTCTACATATATAAAAGGCTGAGCTGGCCGAGTGGCTCAAATGGTAGAGCACCTGCCTACCAAGAGTGAGGCCCTGAGTTCCAACCTCAGTACTGCCAAAAAAAAAAAAAAGTTGCAAGAATTATACAGTGAATACCCAGGTAGCCCCACCTGGTTCTTGTAGCGTGTGCTTTATCGCAAATCTGTCCCTTTATCCATATCTCCATCTGCTCATTGAGCCTTCTGATTTTTTGATTCATTTCAAGGTAAGTTGCAAACATCATTCACTTTAGAACACACACATATTATTAACTAGACTTCAATATTTATTTATGGGTTCTTTTAGGTTACATTGTCAAGTACAATGACCTTAAGTATTCCATTTGATTAGTTTGAAAAAACACAAGTACCTGGGTAACCCAGTCCTGTTTCATGGCATGAAGCGTTACCATCACCCTAGAAAGTTCCCCTTAGCCTGCTCTGACTTTTTTCACATAAATAGTCTGGCCTTCTCTAGAATTTTCTGCGGATGGAAAGGCTTCTTTTGTTCGGGTATCCCTAGTTTATTCCTTTTTATTGTTGAATACTGTTACATGGTGTGAATATGTACCCTTTTGTTTACACGCTCTCTTTTTGATGGATCTTGGTCTCATTCCAGTTTGGGCCTATTATGGGCAAAGGTGCTCTGAACATTGTTCTGTAAGGTTTTTTGTAGACACATGGGTTCATATCTCTTGGGTAAATATCTAGGAGTGGAGTTATGGGGCCATAGGGCAGGTGTATGCCTTCTTCTGAAGAGGTTGTACTTTTTGCACTCTGACAGTAGTGTTGTGAGAGTTCTGATTGCTTCATGGCCTTGCTAATATTAGGTATTGTCTTTCTTTTAAGGTTAGCCTTTCTGGTGGGTGTATGGTACTGTCTCATTGTGCTTTTAATTTGCATTTCCTTTATGACTAAAGACATTGAACACCTACTCATATGCTTATTGGCCATTTGCATGTCATCCTTAGTGAAGTGCCTAAAGTCTTTTCCCTAATTAAAAAAATTTAACTGGGTTATTTGCCTTTTTATAATGGTTGTAGGAGCTCTTTTTCTGTTCCAGATGCAATCCTCTGTCAGATATGTTTGATAGACATTTTCTTCCAGTCTGTAGCTTGAGCTGAGGTTTTTGTATGTCTGTTTTTGCAGTGCTGAGGATGGAACCCAGGACCTTTCTACACACTGGCAATCCTCTAGTGGTTCTGGTTCCGATGAAGCCTAGTTTATCAGATTTTTCTTTCATTGCTCTCCATATGCCAAGTTGCAAAGGCGTTCTTCTGTGTTTGTCAGCTTTTACAAATTCAGGTCCATCCTGAATTAGTCTTCGTACATAGTGATCTGGAATTAGATTAGTTAGGTTAAACTCTATAGCCCTTGTCCATAGGTTTGGTCTCGCACTGTCAGTACCCCCTGTGCTCTTTATCTCTTTATTTACATGACTTGAGGAGAAGGGCAGTGGATGAAATGGCTGTAATTCAGGGAGTTCTAATTGGTTATTCTACATACAGAGCCCTTTCCTAGATTTCCAGTGGTATTTTTCAAATGTGTGCTTCAGTGAAAGCACACTGGATTCCTTATGCTCAGTGACTGACAAGGCATTCTCTGGCCATTTGCCAAAGAACAACAAAGTTCACAGACAGTAAGACTTGGGGATTGGATTTAGGCATGGAAAATAGCAATCAGAAAAGAAAAAAGCTGATAAACTGGACTTCATCAACATCAAATCTTGACTCAAGCCACATACTGGAAGAGAATGTCAAGAATACATTTCTGATAAAGGACTTATATCTGGAATAGATAAAAGAGCTACATAGTAAAAGACAACCCAGTTTTTATCTTATTTTTAATACGGGCAAAAGACTTGAGTAGGCACTTTACAAAAGAAGATGCTCCAGTGGCCAACAAGCATATGAGCAGGTGCTCAGTACCCTCAGTCATCAGGGAAATGCAGATAAGCACAGTGACACACACACACACACACACACAAATGCCCCAGAATGGCCAAAATTAAAAAAAGCAGTGACAATACTAAAATGTTAATACTTGGTGAATCTTGCTTTAAAATGTAAGTGAATGTTTGAATTAACATTTGGAAGTAATGAATTTGGTGATGGTACACAGGGTGAATTCATGAAAGGTAAGCAGCCTTTGCTAGGTACAAGATGGTAATGATAGTTCAAGTTCAAGTTCAAGAAGAATGAACAGTTGTTAGGACCTGTTCTAATGATGGTTGAAACAGTTGTTAGTAATTAGTAAAGGGATGAAAGAAAGGAAAGGAAATAGATGACAAGGGAGATTTTCATCCAGGCTGAGTGGAGATGCGGTCAGCAGAAATAGGGAAATTGAGGGAAACATGTTGGGGAGGCTGGTGGGAAAATGATAAATTCCTATTTTGGTTGCTTTTAAAATTCCAAGTAAGAGTGACTAACAGGGACAGAGTAGATGATTGGAAGACTTGCTCCAGAAATACAAGTTGGAGTGGATCAGAGGTTGAGCTGTTTTATTTATTAGGTTGGTTTTTTTTTTTTTTTTTCCTTTCTTTCTTTTGGACTCCAGCAGAATAGCTCTAAACAGAGTCTAACAGAGGATTTATCAAACAAAACAAATATTCCTTTTTGGTCTTTTTCTAGTAGGACTGTGATTTTGAACTCAGGGCTTCATGCTTACATAGCAGGTACTCCACTGCTTGAGCTATACCTCCAGTCCAAAACAAATGTTCTTTGAAATTTTGTAAATTCTCTATGAGAATTAAAGAAAAAAATATAAGCATATTTTGGATCATGTGTATGGCCACCTTATAACCAGTTGCTAATAGTCTTTGATTCATTCTAAGTTAATTTTTGTATATGATATAAGATAAGGACCCTACTTTTTTCTTTTACAAATTGATACCCAGTTTTCTGAGCACCATTTGCTTTCAGGTTTCTCCTTCCCCTGTTAAATGGTCTTGGTACCCTTTTTACAATCAATTGGCTATAGCCAGGTTTGTTCTGGGCTCTATATTCTGTTTGCTTCAACTTTGTTTTTTTTCGAGGTTGTTTGATTATTTGGGTACCCTGAGATACCATATGAATTTTCAGATACAATTTTCTTTTTTTTTCTTCTTTTTTTGTGGTTATAAGGGGTTTGAACTCAGGGCCTACACCTTGAGCCATTCCACCAGCCTGTTTTTGTGATGGGTTTTTCTTTTTTTTTTTTTGAGATAGGGTCTCATAAACTATTTGCCAGTGCTGGCTTCAAACCTCGATCCTACTGATTTTTGCCTCCTGAATAGCTAGGATTATCGGGGTAAGCCACCAGTGCCTGACTGGATACAATTTTCTATTTTTCAAAAAAAAAAAAAAACACCATTGGGATTTTGATAGGAATTGCATTCAATCTGTAGATTACTGTGGGCAGTAATTGATATCTTAATAATATTAAGTCTTCCAGTCTACAAACAAGGGATGTTGTTCCATTAATTTGTGTCTTGTTTAGTTTCTTTCAGCTGTGTTTTGTAGTTTTCAGTATGCAGACTTTTTTTTTTAAGTACTGGGGTTTGAACTCAAGGCCTATACCTTGAGCCACTCCGCCAGCCCCCTTTTTTTGTGAAAGGTTTTTTCAAGATAGGGTCTAGGGAACTATTTGCTTCGGGCTGGCTTCAAAGCATGATCCTCCTGATCTCTGCCTCCTGAGTAGCTAGGATTGCAGGTATGAGCCACCGTCACCTGGCTTTCAGTATGCAAAT